AACGTCAAATATTTGTCAGAGTTTCAAGGACGAACTAAGTGTAACCAAACACTAGAAGAAATAAAAGCCAATTTTCCATATACACAAAGTGTTGTGTTTAATATTTCGCTCGACAATTGTATTAAAATTTATTGGTCACAGTTACAGTTATTTTTCACATTTTCAGCATTGAGGACTTCTTTAAAACAAGTTGGTAATTTCCAAATAAACTATTAGTACTATTTTTTTCCTTTAAATTTTAAATTTACTTAAGGTTGCTCATTAGTATTTCGAAGTGCGCGTAAATGCGTAAATACCAGTTTTAGTACTTTTTTATCAGATAGATCCCATACTGTAAATCCTACACATAGAAGTAAAATAACACGCGGGATTACGTCTAATGCAAACAAACATACATAGATTGTCCAAAATGTCCTCTTAAACCTCTATGATAATTTTCATGACTTCAAGGCAAATGAACGATTTTCGCAGTTATTTTTCTCATATAACCTTTTCGGAAATTTCTCCTTGGCGGTATTGGAATTTTTCCGTCAAATTCTCCACCCGCTCGACCCCCACTATTTAAAAACCACCGGTTCAGAAATTCGCTCACGCATAGACTGCAAATTGCCTCGGGATTTGCGTCTTCAGATCACAAAAGTCCCAAATTTCTAGCATGCATTTCGAGTTATTTCTAATAATAGCCAACTGCAATTGGTTGGGGGATAGCCTCTGAGCCAGCTCCGATTGTGTGTGGCAAACTAAACGCTTGTCATGGGAGCAGCCACAGGTGCAACTGAAATAACAGACAGAAATTGCATTTTCTTACGTCACACATATGCCAAGGGTGCCATTCCAGTCGAACGCCCTTCCGCACAGGTAGCCTAAGCGGGAGATGAGCAACACGCGGAAGAGCTCAGAACGTGGTGGAGGCACGGAGCTCCCATGATAACGGCAGACAGGGTCTTAAGAAACCGGTGATGCTTGGATTTGCGTGGTCGGCAGAAGGTCGATAAACATTGTCATCGGTGACTTTTGCAAACCACCC